TTCTAACCTGTGAGGCTTCTTCAGAGTCTGTGCCCAGCAAAGCCACACTGTGGGCTGCTCAAAGCCCTGGGAGCCCAATCCCTACCCATTGGGTGTAGGAGGCAGGAAACTGGAGTCAATGAGGGTTATTCTGAGAACCTCAAGATATAAAGTTGTTCACCCTCGTGGGTGTTGTGTTGGGCTTAGGATCTATACCCCGTCCTTCTTGCCTACTTCTCCTTTGTTTTTATTTTTTTTTTAATTAAAAAAAAATTATTTATGTGTGTGTGTGTGTATGTGTGTGTGTGGCCAGCTCAACCCACCTGGGGGCAGGGCTGGCTGGCATGTGGCGCTGGGGGACTGAACCGCGGTCCCTGTGCTTTGCTAAGCTTGTTCTTTTTTTTTTTTTAATTTTATTTATTTATGTGTGTGTGTGTGTGTGTGTGTGTGGCCAGCTCAGCCCACCAGGGGGCGCGGCTGGCTGGCATGTGGTGCTGGGGGATTGAACCGCGGTCCCTGTGCTTTGCTAAGTTTGTTCTAAGTAGGTGCTTTAGACCACTGAGCCATCTCACCAGCCCTGCCTACTTCTTCTTTGGAAAGAGATGGAAATGTCCATCCCAGGCCTGTCCCACCATGGTGTCTTTGATGTGCATAATTCGTGTAGCTTCATGCTGCGCAGCTGGACAGAGATCTGCCTCGGAATGCAGCCTGCCTGCTGTCTGCATCTCACACACGTGAGACTCACTGTCAGACACTCTGGACTTCAGGCTTTTGTGGGGGGCTGGAATGAGTTAATACTGTGGAGGGCACTGGGATGGAATGAGAGCATTTTGTATGAGAGAAGGATGCTGTGGCTTGGAATTTGTCTGTTACTATAACAGTATTAAGAGGCAGGAGATTACGAAGCGATTAGGCCATGCGCGCTCCCCATCAGGGCTGGACTAACTCACTTCATGGGTGATCTGCCCAGCCCCCTACCTCTGTCCCTCTTTCCATCCTTCCACTGTGTGAAGCCTTCTGTCACATTAGGATATAGCAAGGACACTAGCCCTTGAGCTTACACTTCCCAGCCTCTAGAACTGCAAGTCAATACATTCCTGGTCATTATAAATTCCCCAGTCCATGGTATTTTATTACAGCAGCCCAAGCTAAGAAAGGCACTCCCCAGTAGCTTCCTCCCTTAGAGACTCAATCTCCCAGCTCTGACCTTATCCGGTCCTTCCTCCCCGGCTCTGAATCCAGACAGCACAGTGCTCTTCCAGGTCCTCCTACAAGACACGCCCACGACCACTTTGAGGCCGCTCCCCATGCTGTCCCTTCTCCCAGAATGCCTTGTGCCTCCTCATATGACTCAGGTGATGCCGCTTCTCAGAGTGGCCTTCCAGGTTCCTCTCACCTGGCCCTGTCACCCTACCTTGCTTTAGTTCTTCAGGCCACAATAAGACATGGCAGCTTGTGTACTTAGACACTGTCTCTCTGCTAGAATGTCAACTGCTTGAGGATAGGGACTTTGCCTGTCACTTCTGGATCTCCAGTGCCTGGTGCAAAGTGGTGCTACAAAAGTGGACATGGAGTGTGAATAGACATAGGAATTGGGTCCCCCAAAACTTATATGCTGAAGTCCTAGCTTCCAGACCTCAGAATATGACCTTATTTGGGAACAGGGTCATCACTACAGATTTAATTAGCTAAGATGAGGTCACATTGGGGGAGGGCGGGCCCCGGCCCTATGACTGCTGTCCATATAAAAGGGGAAATGTAGACCCTGGTCTTTGGAGAGAAGGCCATGTTCAGGCTCCTGTGCTCTACCATGGCCCTGGGGCTACCGGAAGCTCAGAGCGAGGCTGGGCCAAAGCCCCTACCTGCGCCCGCACCCCAGTGCCCTAAGAGGCATCTCAGCCCTGCAATACACACCTTGATCTTGAGCTTCTGACCTCCCCAGAGTGAGACTGCGAATTCCTATTGTTCTGCGCCACCCAGCTCATGGCGCCTGTTACAGCAGCCCCAGCAACGCACACACCACACGGAGTTAGCAAGATCTCTAACCCACAGCCCCACCCACGATCACTGCTCACTGGCGCGGTGCTTCTTCCCTCTGCTACAACCCAACTCCACATTTCAGTGCACGAAGCCTTTCAGAGTGACCTGACCAAAGCATCCAGACTCGCCTCAGGGCTTGCCCAGGTTCCCTGCATCTATGGAGGCCAACTTCTGCCAAGGTACCTTCCTTATTCTTGACCACATCTTAAGGCCATTGAGCCCACTGTCTCTGCTGCTCGGAATGTACCTTCCTTCAAATCCTTTCTGAACACTCCTACACACCCTTCAATGCCCCAAAAAGACTTCCTCAGGGAGGCCTTCTCAACGCTCCTCACTCCACAGAGTGCACTGTGCTTCCATAGCCCTGGTCAGCAGCGCAGGCTGTCAGTTGCTCAGGGTCTGCCTGTGCGTAGTTCTGCTCTGGTCAACAGGCATCAAACTTCAAAAGTCAGGCACCTTGGCTCATGGCTGCCCAGCACAGGCCCAACTAGAGTGCATGCAGGGTGGAGTGGGGAGGTTTATTTGAGAAATGACATGATAAAGCATAAGAGGATCCTGAGGTTTACTGCTGGAGATGCTCATTCCCCACGCGCTAAGTGCACCTGGAGTGTGCACCCACCATGGCCTATCTGCAGCCTTCCCAGCCGCAGCCACCTGCTCTCCTCAGGGGCTTCGTGTTTCCACCCTGCCTCAAGCTCAGCCCAGTGGCTTTGACACGGAAAGCAAGGAAGATGCTCTATTTTCTTTTCTTTTTCTTTCTTTCTTTTTTTTTTTTTTTTGGTGGAACCGGGGATTGAACTCAGGCCCTTGCGCTTGCCAGGGAAGCGCTTATTCCACTGAACCATTTCCCCAGCCTCGACACTGTATTTTCTGAGGACATTGTCTTCTATCTGATAGGTTTGGGCACTAGTATGAATTGCTAAATCATTATGGTGCTCATCTAACATGGTGGAAGCCCTTAAAACAACAGCTCATCTTCCCAGAGACCACCTCCTCCTCGTTCTCCAACTCAGCCCAGGCTGCAGTTTCCTCTCACCCTTCCCGCCACCTCAGGGAAGGCCGCAGTCAGCTCCTCAGGTCTATCTAAACATGTCCCTCAAGCCCCACCCCTGGCAACAGGCCATAGAAGCCTCAGCCTCCCTTTGTTCCCATCCAGAGAATTCCTCATCTTCCCAAATTCTCTCCACGTCCTCCAAGATAATGAAACCTCTTCCCCTTGATAATAAAGCCCCTTCCCTTTTCCTTCTGCCTGTTTCTCTGCTGCGACACCATCAAAAACCTATTGCTATCCACCACCCACCCACCCCAACTAACATAAAAACCCTCTACCAAGACAGTCAGGAGCCCAGCCTGGTGCCTGGGTACTCCACAAATGCCACATGGGGCTGGGGAGCTAGCTCAGAGGCAAACATGCCTGCCTGGCAAGCGCAAAGTCCCAAGTTCGATCCTTGGTAGAGCAAATAATTAAGTAGGCCACAGGAACAGGAAAACTCATACCTGCACACCCTACATTGCCACCCTCCTACCCACTCATGCCCAGGCAGATGCCCCTTGTAGGCTTAACCTCTGCATCCCTCTTCAGAGAACCCAAGCCCCCTGATGCTAACTAAGGACAAGGTGCCCGGACACCCATCTGGTCTCCTGAGTCCAGGGCAGATAGAGTCAGCAGCCCCCCTGAGCAGCGAAGGGACAGAAGTTGAGGTTCCTTGTGTGTTCTCAACTCTCCAGCCATGGCCAGAGGGCATGCCAGCCCGCAGTTCCCAGTGGCTAATGCATTCCCACCCTAGCTCCCACTGTCCCCTTGGAGGGTGAAGCAAAACAGATGGTCCCTTTCCAGTGCCCCTTGGGCACCAGGCAGAAGTAGGACACTGATGCTTCCAGATTCCCTGGAGGTCTCCCCATCCACACCCCAGCAGGAGGCTAACAGGTCTGGAGTAGCCTAGCTTGGAGGCCCTGCCAGCCATGCCACACTCAGAGCAGGTCCCAGCTTCGCAGCATCCTGCCATAGGGACCTATTTTCCCGCCCAGGGAGGGAGGAAGCCAAGCACAAAGAACCAGCTCCTGTGCACATCCAATTCCAGCATTCAGTTATCACAGCAAAGCCTGTGGCTAAACACCTGGGCTCCACACCATGGCCTCAGGAGGTCCTCACCCCAGCCAGAACACACATGTGTAAAGGGAACCCACCCAAGCTCCTCACTTTCCAAGAAGCAGGAGGGAGACATCTATTGGAACTCACAGTCCACAAGTTCCCCAGAGCCACCGCTCAAAGCTGCAGGGTTCGGGGTGATCTTCATGCAAAATGCCTGACCTCCATGGCAACCTGATGTAACAAAGAGTCCACTGGACGAGGATCCAACTCCCACCCCAAGTACCATCTCGACGGGCTCCAGTCTTTTTCCTCTCTGCTCTCAGTTTCCACACCCGTCCACACCTTTTTGCTTGGCCAGGACTCTGGATCAGGGGTTCGTCTGAGCTGCAGTCCCCTGATCCCTAACTCATTTGCAGCAACCTGCGGCAGTCTCTCCACGTGGGTCCTTGCTCCAAAGACCTGCTGGTATACCGGACGGCGGAGCAAATGTCTAGCCACCCAAGGAGCAAGTGACGGGGCCGCTCCTCTGCAGAGGGGCAGAGGCGGTGGTCTCCAATGGCCAGGCCTCCAGGCTGCGGCCCCGAGCTGCCAGCAGGGGGAGGGCTCCTTCACAAAGCAGGGCACCCTGAGCACTTGGGGTTCCCATCCCCGTGCAGGCGAAGGCACCTACCGTGCGGCTTCAGGTGGCACCTGGAGCGGACGCACCGAGGATGGGGTACCTTGGTCCCAGCAACCAGTTAGGACTCAAAGCTCCTGGGGGTCGGAATTCCGCAGGGACCGCGCAGGGGCCGGAGCCCGTGATCGCACATGCGCAGGTCGGCGACCCCGCCCCCGCGCCCCCTCCCCACTCCCCTTCCCGTTTCCCCCCCTCCCCCCCAGAGCCACTGACCATAGTGACCGAAGCTGGTGGGGCCGCGTCCCACCCCAGCGCGGAGCGATCCGGTGCCAGAAGGTACCACGACAGGCACTGGTCAGCTCCACAGTTGGGTCGGGCTGCGTGGGCCTCGAGGGCGTGGGTTGTGCGGAGAATACACCCGACCGCTCTGCAAACCAAAGGCTAGACCTCCACTGTGTCCCAGCAAGACACACGCCCCGCGATTGACCTGGGCAGCAAGCAATCAGAGACCGGGCCGTACAACGTCACAGAAAGTGGGTGGGACTTCAAGTGCTTTCAGCCTATGTTTTAGGAGATATTTGACAGGGTGCCGCCCCTTTTTAAAGACACAGAAAACTTTAAACTAGCCAAGGGGTTAACCCAACCCAAAAAGAAGAGCCCTGCTTTGTGAAGGCTGAAGGGCTTTTAACTAAAACTACAAATTGAAGTCTTCTGGAAGATTAGCTGGCCCTCATTAATTAACAGTCAAAGTCACCTAAGTATAGTTTGCTCAAGATCAGAGGACAGGCACTCAGGAAACGCGAGTCCAGTAACATTGTTACTTGCCTGCAGCTAAATAACCTCTACGAACTTGTGAATCAGTAGGTTGCCACGCACCCAATTCATGTTTGTTGACTGAATAAATTTTCGGGATGGTTGACTGTATGGCTCTGGAATTGTAGGTCTGTGTAGGAGGCGCACACCGTGAGTAGGTGTAGGTGACTCACCCGCGTACAAGCTCATTATTACTGGACATCAAATAAGGAGCAGCCAGCTATCATTGCAGCGCTCATCTGCAGACCTGGGGGGTGGGGGATGACTGTGGGTGAGTGTGAGAGGAGATCCTCTGGGACATCGCACGCACCCGTTTCCTAAGCACAGGCACCACGTGCACGGGTCTACCGTGGAATTTTTACATTGTGATCTTTTCCTAGGCTAGCAGTGTTCCGTCCAGGACTCTGCAGATGCTGGCCCATGGCTCCCAGTGAGCTTTGCAATCAGGAAACAACTGATATTCTCCTGCGCGTTCGGTAGTTAGGTGTGTTAAACTCTCTTTCACCCTACGATATTTCCAATTCATGATATTTACTGCATGTAACTCCATCGAGGGTTGAGGAGCAAGCGTACTGATACTTATTGGTCTAGCAGCCCCTTCCCCATCCCTCCAGGTATCATATCCTGCGTGGTCAGTGTGGTGTCACAGGAGGTACAGAGGCAGGAGGAACAGGATAACCATTTGCACTGTGCAGTTATACACAACACTACCAGACACTGCCCTAGACTTTAGGTTTCTGTTATCTGACACCTACTTATGCACAGTGAGCTCCACACTGGCATGCGGAAGGACCCTGCAGCTGGAGACCACAAGGAGTCAGGGCCCCTGGCTCTGGGAGCTACCAAACACTGCTGTGTGTCCTCAGGTAACTCCCAGGTCCTCTCTTAGCTTTTGTCTCTCATTCAATGACAGGGCTGGACAATTTAAGTGATTTTTAAAAGAACACATTTAGCCATGATGTCTTTAAAGAAAAAGGCCCCAAATCACAGTATGTATATCAGGGACTCATTCCTCAGTGAAAAAATGAAGCAGCTTTCCTCAGCGCAGCAGCTCAGGAGCGGAGAAATGCTCTCTTCCTCTTGGAAGTGCACAGGCTTCTTCCTCAATTCTAGAAAGGTGATTGGAAAAGAAATGTGTTCCAAGTTTCTAGTTCCAGTCAGCTGAGAAGCTGGGTTGGGCTGACCTGTGAGCTGCACTTCAGGGGCTGCTCTGGACAGGGCTATCGGATTCTGTCTAGAAGGACATGGCCCTGCTTCCTGTGGCCCTTTTCCCTGGGGTCCAGGTGTCCTGGTGGGAGCTGGAAGGTGGCAGGTGGGGCTTCACAAGGCCTGGGAGAGTGAGGCTGCCAGGAAGGCGCTGGGCACACAGGGGTGGCTGCCTGCAAGACTGTGACTCATGGGGCTGGCCTTCCACGTTGCTGCTCACCTTTCTCCTCCTCCTCGTTCTCTTCCTCGTCCTCCTCCTCCTCCTGGTTCTCCTCCTCCTCCTCTTCCTCCTCCTCCTCCTCCTCCTCCTTTTCCTCCTCGTCTTTCTCATTTCCCACTTCCTCCATACATACAGGAGCTTAGATGGCTTTGAGAGTATAGAACCTTCCTGGTGCTTATCCACTTCAGAGCACCCACCGACCACAGCCTGGCTTTTCCTCCAAGCAGCTTTCCTAGATTCCAGCTGGCCATGAATTCCTCTGAGTTTCCACACCACAGAAATTCATATCCACCCATGGTGCTGGTAATGATGGGGCCCAAGACCTGAAGGCTTCAGTGGTCAGGTGTGGCTTTGCACGTGGCAAGAGGGAACTCCAAGATGAGTCATATCTGGTACCCAAAAGAGGGTCATCAACCTCCCCTAGATCAAGAAAATGCTGCCGGCAGTGGAGGACCAGGCCCTGTCAGAGCTTCCAGCAGCTCCTGCGAGGGCCATGTTCTCTTTCAACTGTGAGTGGTGGAGTGTCCCCCTTGATGGAGTTTCCTCTGCCGGGAAGATCACAGGACAACAGAGCTAGAGTGGGGCCCTTGACTGCCTCCCTGGCACACCTGAGATCAAGGAAAGATCTTTCTAGTTTAAGCAATGAAGGGCTTGAAGTTGAGGCTGAACTGGCTCAAAAGGAGATCTTTCTGGAACTAGGCAGGGTGGAAGTGGGGGGTTAGAGACAGGTGACTCCTCTGTCACCTGCTGGGCACTCAGAGGAGAGGTCCGTACTGTCACCAGATGGGCATAAACCCTTTTGTCCTCGTTTCCAGATAGGGAACAGGGCTGGACACTGAGTGCGACACAAGTGCCACTCTCCCTGCTCAGACACACAGATCAACATCTAATTGCAAACCGTAGCAGCTCACTCAGTGCCTCTTTTTCTGCCCTGCAAAAGGGGCCCAGGATATGGCCCAACAGAGGGTGAAGATGGGGTCAGAACCCCCCAAACCACTGAGGTTTAAATATCCAGCTGCTTGTGGACATGGGGCGGAGAGTGAGGGTCCATCTGCGGGAGAAGCAAAAGGGAAGGGGGATTTCTGTGTCCTGGAGAGGAGCCTGGAGAGCTGAGGCACACAAGCCCTGGGTTCCATAGGCAAGGCATGAGCTCTGGAGGCGGAATGGGCATCAAGGCAGTTAGCACCTCACCAGGCTGCACTTTGGGTTTAACCATTGTCTGCAGCTAAAGAAAGATGATGGATGGGCCACTGGCGGGCTGTCTCGGGCTGGCTGCCTCGGGCCCACATGCCTTGGGTCCCAGGCTGCGCAGGAAACAGCAAGGCATTGGGTGTGCTGTCCAGATAGCCAGGGCCAGCAGGAGGTGCTGACCTGGTACCATCGGGCTTCTCTGTGGTGGAATGAGCCTGACTCGTGAAGGCATGTGGGGTGCATCTTAGCCCTTGCGCATCTAGGAGACATTCCCCCTTCACATGCCAAGCTCTGGAAGGTGGGCGGGACCCAGTGACGGCTTCTAACCCACATGGGACAGCTGTCACCCAGGTCCATGTCTCCACTGCCTGCCTTGGTAACTTGCTATGCACACTGCACCCTAAGTGCTCTTATCTTTAACAGGAAGCCTGGAAGCACTTCACGGTAATCACTAGGGCCACCTGGGCCAGGAGGGTGGCCCACGCGGCCTGCCTAGATCACACACTTCATTAGCATCTGATTTCCATGTGAAGTGACACCCCAGAGTTCTAACAGTTCATGTTCCCTGTAGTTGTGGTCAGGAAGGATGGAATCAGGAGAAAAGTTGGGCAGTGCCCTTTCTGGGCTACCCTGGACCTCCTGCCCCAACCTGAGTCCATGGGCTGAGGCTGAAGTCTGGGCTGAGCTCTCTCTTCTTCCTCTTCCTCTTCTCTTTTTTCTAGAACTGGGGATTGAACTCTAGCCCTTGTGCTTGCCAGGGAAGCACTTATTCTACTGAGCCATCTCCCCGGCCCCTGGGCTCTCACTTCTTGCTTGGGAGTTGCGTGCAGCTGTTGCTACTGATGCCCAGCCTTGGTTTCCTAATTGGCCCTGTGAGCCTCAACAGGGAAAGGACCCTATCTTACGGGTCTCCCCTCCCCTCCCAGGGGCATGCGCTTCACTGGCAGGGCAGCCATCGTGATGGGTGTCACTTCCAATCCTGGGTCACTGAGTGCTGGTGGCTCTGTTCTGCTCAGCTTCTCTGGCACTGTCGCTGACCATGAAGTGAGCAGACGCCTAGACAGGAGTTGAGACAGACCTCCAGGGAGGACAGACCTGAGACCCCAGGTGGTGCTGCCCGTGGAGCCCTGCAGCTGCTCACAGGGGAGTGTGAGCTGGAGGCTTACTGTCCCCCAGCCAAGCCTTCAAGTTGTCTGAGCTGAGGCCTGACTGCTGAAGATCGTCCTGCTCACCCCTGGCCACGTCATGGTGCGGCCCCGGGTCACTAACACAGCCTCCCTTGCTGTTGGCCTCAGTTTACCCATCTGTGCATGGGGTTCACGAGCCACATCTCCTGTGATTGTGCAGTTGCTTCCCCAAGCTCCCACCGAGGCAGCATGGCCGTGCGACAGCACCCTCTTGCCACTGCTCTCCTTAACCAAGTTTGTGTCTTAACACTGCAAACTCTGGCGAGTGTGGTGCAGGAAAAGGACAGGTGCCGGGGTGCAGACAGCGAGGCCCCGGCTCCTCTGGGGAAGGGCAGGCCTGGCAGAGATGTGGAGACTGAGCCAGGGTAGCAGAATGAGTCTCGGAGGTCTCATCTGCCCACTCCTATCTCTACCTGGGGAGTCTTGTCCTAGAGCCCCGTCACTTCCCATGTAGCATTTCTCTCAGTTTGAGACTGCTGTATGCACCTTTTCCTATTAGGTATCAGGCCCAAGAGGGTGAGGGTAGGTCCCCCAGCACCTGCGTGTCTAGCTCAGCACCTGACACCTAGGAGATGCTCATGAAAATGTACTAATGAACGAGTAGAAAAGCAAAGGCTAACGGATAAAGGGCTAGGGCCTGAGAAGGGTAGGCCTCACTAGAGCACAGAGAGGAAGCCGGCCTTGGGTCAGGTTAGAGAGGTGGCCAGGGCCAGATGACACAAGCACTGGGAAGGGGTGCTACTTAAGGCAATGGGGAGCCATGGGAGGGGCGAGAGGGAGGATGGACATGACCTCTTGTGAGATGTGTCTGGCTGGCTGCTGTGACAGCGGATTGAGAGATCAAGGGTGGGAGCCGAAGTTCAAGTAGGAGGCTACAGTTGGGGGCTGATCAGAGAGGATGAGGGTGGGGCGCAGAGATGGGGGGGTACAAACTGTGCTTCGTGGCCAGCTGTATGGGAGAGGACCCAGGGTGACACACAGTCCCGCCTGACCATCAGGGAGAGCTGGGGCAGCAGGAGGGGCACAGCCCCCACCCTGAGTGGAGCCTGATGCCACCCCCCAAGGGGGAGCGAGGTCCCCACGTATCTAAGGCACACAGGATTCTGTGAGCCCTAGAAACTCTCCCGGGCCTGGGGAGTGAGGCTGGGGACGCTGTCTGGGGCAGCAGGGAGGCGGTGAGCCCTCTTCCAGAGCAGCTGTGTTTGAAGATAAGGGGTGAGGTGTGAGGTGGGGCATGGGTTGGGCTCCTCCGCCAAGGTGGGGGTGGGGGGACTCAAGTGGGGACACACAGAATGCTTCCTGGATCTCCTGCTTCATCAGTGACTTCTGCAGGGAAAAAGCATGATTTCTGCACTGGAAACAAGAGCTATAACACAGAGCGCAAGTTCACTTAAATGATGTTTTCCGATGAGACACAAGAGTGCAGAAATTGTGGGCTTCCTTTCAGGCCCCTGAAGGTCAAATTCACTCTCGTCCACCATTAGGATGTTTGGGGAAAGTCTGAGACACTTTTTTTTTTTTTTTTTAAATTTATTTATTTATTTATTTATTTATGTATGTATGTGTGTGTGTGTGTGTGTGTGTGTGTGGCCAGCTCAGCCCACCAGGGGGCGGGGCTGGCTGGCATGTGGTGCTGGGGGATTGAACCGTGGTCCCTGTGCTTTAGCTAGGCTTGTTCTAAGTAGGCGCTTTAGACCACTGAGCCATCTCACCAGCCCCAAAATGGCAGAAGTGATTTTTTTTTTTTTTTTTTTTTTTGCGCCAAATGCTTTCAAGGCATGACTGGCTGTCTTGTGTTGTGGGGATCGAACCACAGCAACCTGAGCCTGACTGCTTTGTTGAAGCAGCCACTTAAAGAACTGAGCTAAGGGGCAGGCCCCCGTCTGAGACACTTTGGTGGGAACAACATCTCAGACAACGGCAGCTAGCGTTGAGCTCTGCCACGTTTTGCTCAATGCTACGGTAAGCAGATGTCTGTACCTCTCTGAGCCAGGGCATCAGCTTCAGCTGCTCTTGGGAGACCTCGCCTCTGCAGGCAGACTTTGACCACTTGCTCCTCTCAGACTGGCTGTTTGACCCTCAGCGCTTTACCATTAGCTGTAGGAGAGTTGAAAAGGGTTCATCTTCCAAGTGGCAATGTCTCACTGATTTCTTAGGTGAGATCACGGGGAACAAGAAAAGTAAAACTGACAAATGCAGGACTAAACAACCCAAGGGAGGACCCTGTAGTGCAGGACATGATTGCAAAATTCACATCGCGTCATGGTCTAAACTCAACTTGTTGAAAACTCTAAGTGATACACTATACTACTCTACGCGGGGGTGGGGTGATGAGCGTGTTGTCCCAGCCCACCTGCCAATTCTGTTTTGCTTTTTTTGCTACCCTGTTGCTGCCATTGAGACAGTCTCTCCCTAAGTTGCCCAGCCTGGCCTGGAGCTTATGATCCTCCTGCCTTGGGCCCTACCAAGGCAGGGGACAGATATCTCAATACCTTCCTTTGAGTTAGATCTTCCCAGATGTATTCCCAGAGTTTCAGATAATCTACCCAGGCCTTTTGCATGACCTTAAGACAGAAACTTAGTTGTCTGCACACACACACACACACACACACACACACACACACACTCACAACCACTCTCCTGGGAATTGCCCCTCTTGTCCCAGCCAACCCAGTTCTATGATTTAAGGACCAGTGGGTCTCAGAATGAGGCCTGCCAGCTCCCAGGAGCAGGCAGCACCCTAGGCCTGGGTCTGGAGGTCCCCGTACCCTTGTTCCTTGGCAGCAGCCCTGGGGACTGGTGACAGCACTGCTGTCATTTGTGATTTGCAACACTGCATAGCTGGGACAGAGGGAGTTGCTCTTACCCCAGTGATTCCCTGGACAACACGAGGACACACGGCTGGCACAGTAGGGCTCGTCTCCAGGGCTGCTGAGGCAGCACTTGTTCTGGGAGGTGGTGCAGCCGGGTGTGCACCCCACTTGTGCATCGGGCTTGGACGACCTAAAGCTCAGGTGTCGGCCAAGATTCCTCTGCATCCCCTACCAGATGGCCCTCACTTTTGGCTCCTCTACTTGCCTTAAAATTTTCTCTTAGAGATTTGCTCCTTTGCTTAAGACTCTTATGCAATCATTCATTCATTCATCCATCATTTGTTCAGAGGCTGTAATGATTTGCTCACCCAGCACACATTTACTGAAAGCTTATGCTGTGCTAGGCTGCACCCTGGGTGCTGTGATATGTGGTTAAGATAAACCTTTGAGAATTCAAGCTGGGGTGATAAAAGTGATGACTGTACCAGACAGGTGCTCTGAAGGCAGAGCTGGTGACACTAGTGCACCTGGCCTGCCATCCTCAAAGGTCCCTTCCTGCTAGAGGGTGACACCTGGCTTGGCTCAGAGCAGTGCAGTCAGGCTAAGGGGTCTTAGGGGTCGCCTTGTGTCTTGTGAGAACTCAGCTCCTGCCTCCCTTCTTCCCGCCCACTTCCTCTACCAGGGAGCTTCCACCCAGGCCTGAACGTGAGCTGTGCCTCACCCAGTGCACGTTACCCTTTCCTCACTGAGGTCCACAACAGGGCCAGTGTCCCACTTGGGGCCCCTGTACTTGAGTTCAAGTCCCATCCCAATCTCTCAGCTGGCTGTGTGGCCTGGTCAAGCCACACAGTCACATTGGCTGTGGCTTCCTCCAGTAAACAGAAGCTAGGAAACCAGTGTTTCCTGGCACTTGGCTATGGGGCAAGGCAGCGAGTGGCAGTCCCCTGGCAGCCCAGCAGGAGCCCCATTCATTCCCTCACTTGCTGCCAGTGGGACCCCAGGGACAGGTGGGATGCAGCCCTGGCTCCCCAGTGAGCAGGTGACAACCTGGGGCTTCCCAGCCCTCTGCTGCCACCTCCTTCAGCCCAGGCAGCCCTGCTGATCCCACCATGGGTGCTACACTTGCCTCTTTACTACCTTAGGCTGTTCCCCACCCCCCTCAGGCAGTGACAAGAACAGGAGGGGAAGCAGATAGGGAAGCCAATCGGTCATGATGACTTGGCCTGTAAGGTAGCTGTTAGGACAGGCTAGAGCACTTTGAAGGCTGGCTGCTGGGAAAGGGAGTCTTGGGGGACACTGCTTGGCTCCTTGGCCCCTTCCTGACAGGCCTGGGCTCCCTTCTCAGGCTCCTGTCCCTGAGGCTGTCCCCTGCCCAGCACACCCTGGGTTTTGTGAGCAGTGAGATCATCCTCATGGTCTCCATCTTGTCCAATATAAAGGCCTGGGGAGGAAACGTGTCTCACTTGCCAGTGTTTCAGGCCCTGGATGTTGCCTCCCAGGGAACAAAACACCACCAGACCTTGGCCTTCCTAGGTGTACCGGAAGCAGAGGACATGGTGGCCAAGTCCTTGGATCCTCATGTGATCCCTGCGAGTGGCTGTTAGCCTCTTCTCCGTGCTTCCTCTGAGAAGTCCACTGTCATGGTGCCCGACCCCTTCTCTGAGGGTCATGCATTTCTTAAGCCTTTATCTCTCCCCACATACAGCTTTTTACCTCACCCAATGCTGAGCACACGTGGGTGACCCTGTCGATGCTGGCTGAGTGATGACATGTTTACCCGGAGGCCTACTATGACAGATGTAGGGGACCCTGGGGACTCCCTGACATAGTCGTCATTTCTTTTCTTAGAAAGAAAGACTGTGTGGGTCAGGGCCCAGGGCAAGCTCAGACTGCGGTGCGGCTGGAAGGAGCCCGAGGCAGCAAGCCCATCTCACCTGAATCAGGTCCAGCTTGGAGAAGAGGCTCATGCTTGTGGGATTGCCACGGGCCGGTGGGCAGCACTGCTGGGCCATGTTATTGATGGCCCCTTGCATGTAGCTGAGCAGTTGGCCCTACAGGAAGGCAAAGGCTCAGGCCCCTCCCAGCAGCCCCTGAGCCCTGTCCCCAGCTCACCCAGGCCAGAGAGGTGTCCCAGGGCCTGGCCAGGAGCCTTGGTCCTACCCAGTCTGTATCCTGCTCCCAGAGCTGGGAAGAGTCCTGGGCACCCTCCCCAGCTAAAAGAGAGTCCCGGTGAATACATCTCAGAGGGTCCTCTTGGGTGGGGGCATCTGTAGGCCTCCTCCAAGTAGGATGGGCAGGCCCAGGGCACCCCTTCCAGGCAGCACTGGAGCCTTATACTTTATCAGGCCTCCAAGGTCTTGGCCTGAGAGCCAGCTGTGGTAGCCTTGGCTCTCCGCTTAGGAAGAAAGATGCAGAGGGACCAGATCCCCTGGAAGCCCCTTGGCTGGAGACCAGCAGCCCCCACCCTCCTGTATCCCACTGGGCTGGGTTAATCTGAGCCCAGGGAGGTCCTGAAGTCACTCAGTGACTGTGTCCTGCCTAGAGGAGGGTGCTCAGCCTAGCCCCAAGCCCTGGGCCTTTATCTCCAGAGTCCCCAGCAGTCTCCAAGATCAGAAGGGCATGGGTGAGGTAGCCGGGGCTCCAGGATAACCAGACCCCTTCTGTGGCCAGCTGGGGCAGTGCAAAAATGGAATCTGGAAATCCTGGCCTTGATGGGGGCACTGGCCCTGTGCTCTGCAAAGCCAGGTAGTGATCAAAGAGATGCCAGAGTCCCCAAAGACGTGCCTGCCACTTGCCTGGGGCCCTGGCATCTTTTCATTAGTAAGCAGACACACTGTATAGTGTTTGACTGAGCACCACCACGCTGTTGACCTTGGGACCAGCCGGCAGGCTCAGTTCTGGGTCTCAGCGGGGCTTGGTCCTTCACGTCTGAGGCTTCCATTTTCTCTTCCAGGAAGGAGTACCAGCTCTGGCTTAGAGAAGCCTTGTGACAGCAAATGGCCGTGAGAGGCATGGGCACACGTCTGTGACCACGTGTGTGTGTGTGTGTGTGTGTGTGTGTGCGCATCTGTGTGCTATCCATCTTGTATCCCCGTGTGTGCTCTGTGTGCTCTGTGTGTGTGTGTGTGTGTGTGTGTGTGTGTGTGAAGGTGATGCTACTAAAGGAGGCCACAGCTCCCAGACACCCCGTACCTGACTCACATTGTTGCCTCCAACGTGGCAATGTGCGTCAATGCCCAGGCTGTTCTGGTGCGCCACGCCGCGCTCTATCTGCCGCCACTGCTCCTGATGTTTGTGGTGACATTTCTTCTGCAGCTGACACAGTCGCATCTTGAGGCTCTGCAGCAAGTACATTAGGCCATCCCGGGGTACCCACCTGTCTGCAGGGGCTCCCAGAGTGGGGGGTGGCTGCAGGCCTGAGAGGAATTTTCGATGGGGTCTTCCCAGGTGAGCCAGAAAGACACCCAGCAGCAGAGGCAAACACAGCCTCAGGACTGTGGGGGACACAAGAGCAGGGTTGTGGGGACACCTTGGACTGCAAACTAGGAGGATGAGGGACAAATACAAGTGGCCTCCCTTCCTCAAGTTTTCTTTTCCTTATTGTAAAACTGGGAAGAATAGTAAGGCTGAGTCTCAGGTGTGGAATTAAAGAGACACCCCCAGCAGTTAAGCTAAGTAAAATTTCTCGCGATGTTCTTAAATCATTGACGTTCATGGGGTGGGGGACTTCCGGAGGACATCAGAGCTCTCAGGAAGGGCAGGGTCCTGTTCACCACTGGCATGGTCGCCACACTCACTTCCCCTTCGCCTGAGCCTTGCCTGCAAATACTGGAGATTCAAAGGCCACAGAGCTCCTAAACTGCTTCTCACAGGAACCACCCAAGAGTGGATCCGGTTCTCTCCCAAAGGGCAAAAGAGGCCATATGGGGTAGTTTTGCATCCTTGACACTAGGGGACAGCAACTCTCCAAATATCATGCCACTGCCCTGGTGCCAGGGACAGCAGAGTTCAGGATTCAGGGCTATGCCTGTGGGTGCCGTCCCTTCCCCTGGAACGTGCACCACACAAAAGTTCAATGCATTGTGGGATTTCTGAACCTTTTTGTGTTTAGCAGTTGCCGCGGTTTAACCTAATGTTTTGCCCATGCTAGTCAAGTTCCCTACCACAGAGCCAGGCCTCCAGCCTTTTTTATCTTATGGTGAGACAGGATCTCTGCATTGCCCATACTAGCCCAACTTGGGATCTTTCTGTCTCAGCCTCCTGAGAAGCTGGGACTTCAGGTGTGTGCCACATGCCTACCAGTGAGACATCTGTTTGGTGTCTCACAAGAACCCTAACAGCTAGGATGTGTTGTGCCTATTTGACAGATGAGGAAACTGAGGCTCAGAGAAGCTGCAGATGCCTCTCACAGCTCATCAGCAGTCAAGCAGGGACCAAACCCCCAGTCTTTCTGAATCCACAACTCAGCTTTCCCACTGTGTGCAAAGAAAGGCAGTGAAGGAGAGGGTACACAGGATGGGGTCGAGAGGGGCCTTTCGCTCAGACTCCCCTGCTGCAGGCAAGTGGCACTGGGTCCCCAGCACTCTGAGCCAGGGGATGGGTCGAAGCTGCAAGTGGCTCTCACCGGCACGAGAGCCCTGTGGCTGTCCTCTAGGGACTCCAGCGCTGCGTGCATGGTCCTGCTCATCTGGGAGAAGGCGTCCAGGTACTGCTGGACGTCCTGGCTGGCGGCGAGGAGCTTCCCGTAGCGCTGCACCAGGGCCTCCAGCTGGGCCGCCTTGGGCTTCTCCACATCGCTGCAGCCTGTGGGGACGGGGCTTCATGGGCGATGCCGCGGCTGGGAATTCCTGCTGGAGCCCTGGGTTGAGGGGGCTCCTGCCCATGAACTCCGGGACAGCGCCTGGTGCCTCCTCCCACCGCAGGAGAAATGGGGACGTGGAAAAGTCCCCAGGGGGTAACTAAGAACCCAGATTCTGGATCTAGGCTGCAGGTGGAAGGCAGGAGATGCCTAAGGGTAGTGGCAGGCTCCAACCCCCAGGGAGAAGGGCGAAGCTGGTAACTCATTTTGGATGAGGCAAATAGGGCTGAACTGCTGAGTCAGGAAGGCCCCAAACCGGAGGCCGCAGCAGCTCTGGGTGCTGGGTCGCGTCAAGCCCCACCCTTGGCCTGGGGGCCCTAGCATTCCCTCAGCTAGGCTTTCGGGGCCACCCCAGCAGCCCTGCCAGCTCCAGCGCATGCGCCCACTCCGCCATGCGGGCCAGCCAGGGCGCTCTTCCCTTTCCTGCAAAGCTCCGTGCTCTGCCAACCTCGCTTGAGCCCCCAAGAAGTCGCCCGCTCTCTGAAGCCTCTGCTGATCTCCAGAACACAGTTGAGGCTCCACAGCCCCTCGGCAGGCCCTAGAGCCTTCTTTATAGCACTGCGCCCCGTGGCTATGAGGTCAGATGGACCGGAAGCTGAGGCAGCCCCGTGGCCTCCTGGCTGGGCCTCAGACAAGTTCCTTAACTCTCTCCCAAGACCAGAAGCTTGGGAGGATACAAAAAGAAAAAATGGCTGAAGAGTCTAGCACAGAGTAAATATTTATTAAATGCTAATAATGATTTCTATTTTTTATAATGTTGAACTAATACTGATGACAAAATGTATTTTGTCTTCCCTTTTCTAGGAAGTAGGAAGCACTTTTATCAACCAACTTGGGCACAAATTATGACAAGACAAAACGAAACAAAACACTAAAACTCATTTCAGTTTTAGTGTTTATTTAATAATAACAAAACCAACCCTCAGACCACGGACAAGCAAAGCATACTTGTCGTCCTCCAGTACAGGTGGGAGCGTCCCAACAATGCCCCACCCCCAGTCTCCACAATGCTCTGAGGCTTGATCCCTCTCTGAAATGGTGTGGGGTTCAGAGAGAACCTCCATAGACCACAGGGACCTTAACTGCCTCCCCAAGACTCCCCATACCTAGCACAATGTCAGCGTGGTGTTGATCCTTTCCATACCACGTCATTTGGAAAATGGCAAGGAGAAAAAAAATCTGTGCAGAACAGGTATAATTTTGTTTTTCTCATACTTTCGATCTGAGGTTGGTTGAATCTACAGGCCCAGAACCCTTGGGGACAGGGGTGACAGCAACCCCTCGTGGGAAGTTTACTGGGTGCTGAATGCAGGGCATGACATTCCGTGCGTATAGGAAAAGGATTGGATCATGCAGCCCCCACAGCTACTGTGCTCATTTTATAAAGAAAGAAATCAAGACCCCAAGGACCCTTGGAGGTCACACGGTTGTCAGGGCGGGCAAGGTAGAGACCAGGCAGCTTGACTTGGGCACCTGTGTCCTTCTCAGCCCCAGTGCTCCCACCTCTGTGCATTCTCAGGTAGCAGATGAGCAACTCAGACTCAGGGATGCCACACTCTGTGTCCCAGCATGGAGGGGCCAGGCTTTCCGGGAAGCCACGGACCTTTGGGGATTCTCTCGAGGACCTTCATCAGATAGTCTACGAATGGCTTGTGCCTCTGCAGCTCTCTCTCCAGCTTCCTCTGCCTGTGGAGCCGAGACATGGAGAGAGCCTGGTATGGCTGCCCCTGTCCCCCGTGGCCCTGGCCTGGGCTACCCTCCAAGTACTCATGCTTAGGCCTGCACTGGGCTGGCCACTTGGTACCTATCAGATGGCCGCTGCCTAAGGAGCATCCAATCCTGTCTTCCTGGGGAGCAAGCCGAACCACATACAGGTCAGTGACTTCTGGTGGTCAGGCAGTGAAGGGGGAAATGGAGAGGAGGAGGACCAGGTCCTCTTGGTGCCAGAGTCTCCTGTATCCCTCCTGGAGGTGGGAGAGGTGATAGCCAAGGCCATCCAGCAGGTGGGCCACTCCAGCTTGTGACTGGAACTAGGTGTTTCCCTTGTCTGTGTGTGGGCTGTCAGCCTGCTCCCAAGGGCATGAGACCTTCCCACAGTTGGCGGGAACACACGTCAGTGCCCATCACATCGTGAGGCTCAGCCTCAGGTTGGCTCCACCCAGCCTCCGACTTGACTCAGGACAAGAATCTCCACACCGCCTCCTCTGGACCCAGTCAAGGTCAGAACTCAAGGGCAGAGGGAAGGGGGGGCTGTCCTGGCCTCGGCCTGCCCACACCCTCTGACTGTGCCAGCATGGCCTGGGTGAAATCACTGAGTGACTGCCCTGTGACACAGAGCAAGCTGTTGCATTCTTAATCTGTAAATCTGAACAGTGTAGATCTTTCTCATAAGTACTGTGGAGGCTTAGGGACTGCAGTAGCGCTGCCCTTCTTGGGACCCAAAGCCCCCTGAGATCTTGACAGGGCTGGACTTTGTTTCATAAAGCTTCTCAGGGACACATCCATTGCATTAACTTCACACTTGGGTAGGTGGCTACTAATTTAAGTCCCTTTTAAGTAAGTGGAGGACCCAGGGTCTCCACTTACAGCCAGGGCAGCAGACATGCAGACTGACTTCAGAGGCACCGTGCGGATGCGGCAGAGGGACAGCCATGCACAGCCCAAGCTGAGGCCAAAGGATGAGGGCCACACCTCAGTCTGTCCCCACAGCCACCCCATGGCCTGGATTTACTCCCAGGCATCCCACCCCCTCGTCTACTTTCTTGGCCTGGTGTCCCCTGGGGGAAGTTTTACTCTGTTCTAGTCACTTGGGGTAAAGGCCGGAGCAGGGGACAGCAGGCCTGGGACAGTTCATACTTGGCCTGCAGCTGGCAGAGCTGGTGCAAGAGCGTCTTCAGGTCCCTGTCCTTGTCATCGCGGTCATTCTGGCCAGCTCTTTGGTTTGTGTCCATGATCAACAGCCCCAGGCCGCATGGGAGGTGGGTGCACCATGCAGGAGGCGGTGGTCTGAACAGGACGAATGCAGAGGCAGCTTCCTCTCGGAATCCTCTCTGTAGCCCTCAGACGCCAAGGTGTGCCCCCACTTCACAGCAAAGAAAGCGGAGTCTCAGAGCAGCCATGACCATCTCCAGGTCCCAGGGCAGGCCTGAGTTTGGACTTAGGCTCACAGATTCCAAAACTTAGTGCTCTGAGATGCATCTTCACCTCCTCAGAAGTGCTACAGCCCCATCAGCCCTAAATTTTAGGTTCCAGGCACCAAGATCATGGTGTGCATGTGTGTGTGTGTGTGGGGTCCAACAGCTGCTAGCTTCTGGCAACATCTGGGAAGGAGCCATAGGGTCCTCACCCTCTGTCCATCCACCACCCACAGACCATGAGCTCTGAGCTCAGACAGGGCTTAGAGAGTTGGGCTGGAGATTTCCAAAGACAGTGAGCAAGTTCGTGGCCCAGCTTTCGGGGTGGTCTAGCTAGCGGGGACCCTTCATAGCCTTGCAACTCAGTTCCTGGGCCCCTGGACCATTGAGAGACCATCCCTGCTTGGCTGTCTGCTGGGCCAGCCCCAGAGTACAAGGAAGCAGAACAAGAACGTGAGGGCATGCTCAAGCTGGCTGACCTCAGCACCGGACAAGGTCCTGCACCCCAGGAGGAGGAACAGCCTCTGCTGTATCACCCACTGCTCCAAGCACAAGGCCACAGAGGGGCTGTGACATCACAATGCTTGCTTCTGTCCTCAGGATGTGTCCCTCATGCACACCATGCCAGGTCAGTGGCAACTGTGCACCAACAGGCACAAAGGACAGGAGGTGCACAGAGCAGAGCTGGGGCTGGCTGCTGGGGCTGGTGGAGGGAAGTGGTTTTAGGAGAATGCCTGCAGCATGAATCCAGGGAAGGGTTGGGTGGGGTGAGGATGTCAACCTGCCCTGTTGCTTCTGTGGCATTGCTTAGTGACTTTGCTCCCTGCGGAGACTTTCAGCGACCACGTCCAGCCTGGTGCAAGGGGAAGCAAGATCCAGAGCAGCCCAAGGCCCAGGAAGCTGTGCTGGGCTCCTTCTGCTCCAGGCCCGGCCTGGCCTAGCCCTATACCATCTTTGTCATGCAAAGAGGAAGACTCCCCTCCCAAATTTGGGGAGTCACCCAAGCAGATCCTGCAGCACTCCAGGGGCAGGTCTGGCCCAGGTCTTCTGAGATACGGCCTTCCTGGGAGGGAGACAGAGGCACAGCCTTAACTCCAGGCCTGCAAAGGGGTGGGGATGGGGATTGACAGGAGTAACATCCATCTTTCTGCCTCAGCCCAACTGCCTGCATTGTCTTAGGGGCCACCTTCATAAGGTGGGGATGGAAAGGCATTCTCTGATATGGGAGCCAGGTCAGAGCGAAGCCAGGGATGTCATCATCCCTCCTTCCCCAGGACCAGAACCTTTTCTGGGAAGAATCTTCACTCGGAACAGAGGCTTTCAGGGACTTGGCAGACATGGGTTCAAGTTATGCCACCGCAGGCTGTGTTAATTCCTTGCTCTGAACCTCAGGGATAGAACCATCTCCCTGTAGTATCTTTCCTGGTCTCCCTACTTCTCACCCAAGTTCCATGCCATTCTGATCACTTTATTAATGTTGGGATATACGTATATTTTATCAGCTTCCTGTTACTGCAACAAATGCCTGAGATAGTCAATTCATAAAGAGAAAAAGGTTTATTCTGGCTCACAATTTTGGGGGTGCCAGTCAGGTCAGGTGGACACACTAAAGCTGGCGGGAGATGGTATATGGAAGCAGGAGAGGTGGCAGAGCCACGCTGCTCATTTCATGGTTAGGATACGAAAGAGGAAAAGGAAGAGGCCGGGGTGTCACACTTCCCTTCCGAGGCACAACCCAAGGACAGGAAGGCTTTCCCTAGCTCTGTCTCCAGCAGCACCATGCTGAGGACCACACCTGTAACACATGGGCCTTTGGGAACACACCAGACTCAAGCTATGGCATTGATAGAGTCATAAATTCTGCCTAGAAGGACACTAAGCCCAGATACATGTCACCTGCACCTCTTTAGTCACAAGCTATCTGATCTTGGTGAGTTCCTTAATCTTGCTGAGCCTCAGGTTTTTTTCTCTGCAAAAATGGGGCTGACTCCTTATATCTGGAAAGTGCTTTCTGGTTGAGCCCCAGTGCTCTCTTGAACACTCTCCAGTCCATCCAGGAAAAGAGCTGGCCAGTTCCATGTGGCCCTGCAGTCCTGCCTTCACCCCGCTCACTGGAGCTGCCTGACTGTAGTCCACAAGAAGATGGCTCTGCACTTTCCAAAGCCGCCTGTGGGACCACCAGACCCTGGGTGGACATTCCGTCCTCTGAGCAGCGAGGGAGCAGCCCTCCCCCTGGGGAATAAGCTGCCTGGAAGTAGGGCTGAGAATCCCCAGCTGGAGCAGCTACTGCCAGCTCCCTGGGTGGCCCGGACTCTCCTTTCTATCATTTTTGTAGGGATCCTGAAGTTCCTAAAAATGCTGCTGGTGGTGGGAGAAGGCAGTGAAGGGGACTAAATAGGAGCTGTGCTTAGGACGGCATCATGTGCTCAGGAAGGCAAGGCAGGAGGGAAGAAAAGAGGTGGCTGGATTGGAGATGCCCTGTGTCTCAGCTACTCTTCTTTCATTGCTGAGACAAAATACCCAGTGCCCAAAATTAAAGAAGGAAAGGTTTGTTTAGCTCACGGTTTGTGGAGGTTTCAGTCCATAGCCAGCTGGTTCCAAGGCAGTGGGTGTGGCACAGGGGCACCAGTACGTGGAGGTGGAACACAGTGCAAGTAAGGAGAATAAAAAGGGAGGACAAAGAGAGCAAGCCTTTCTCACCCTTACATTATATACAGGCTGCCTGCCCCACTGTGGGTGTCACCCTCACGCCCGTAATCCAGCGCTGCACTGTGAATAAATCACAAATTCTAGAACCCATGACTGCACGAGGCTTTGAGGGAACAATGAGCCACAAACCATAACACCCTGCGATTTCCTCCGGAGTCCTTGTACTGGGACACCCTGATCAGTCACACTTATGAGTGTGTTCCCTATCATGGCAGCAGGGATTTTGTGCATGTCTAGTTGGAGGTTTTTTTTTTTTGTTTGTTTGTTTTTGTAGCGGAACTGGGGAACTCAGGCTGTTGCACTCTCCAGGCAAGCGCTTATTCTATTGAGCCATCTCCCCAACCCCTAATTGGAGTTCTAAGTGCGTCATTTATCTGTATGTCAAACTCTTTTCCCATATTTGGGAAGTTTGCTGCCATTATTTTTGTGAATAGGCTTTTTATGTCTGCACTATCACATGCTTTTTCATTGACTTTTATCAATCTTATGTTAGTCTTTACATCATCTAGCGGCTGTTGGATTGATTTTCATAGTCCTTTGCCATTTAAAGGAAATTTTTCTTTCTTTCTTTTTTTTTTTTTTGGAGAACTGGGTATTGAACTAAGAAATTTTTCTTTAAATGATTACTAACCTCAATCTTGTCTTCTGTATCTGATATTCTGCCATCACGGTGGCTTATTCTGCGATGTACACTTTCAGTGGAATTTTTAATCTCCTGGATACCTGCCTGAATCTGTTTCACGGATTCCATTTCTTTACTCTGTTAAGAATTCATGGTTTCCATCATTTCCTTAAGATCTTTTTAAAAAAATCTGTATCTGCTGTAGAGTCAGCAACCTCGTCTTTCATCATCGTCACCATCTCTGTACTTATCTGAGAAACTATTTCTGATTTGATCTTCTCTAGAGCTTCATACATCTCCTATGTCACTTCTGCTGTTACCACTTTGGTAAGGTGTGTGGCTTCAGAATTGTTCCAACTGATTGCTCCGTGGATTTGCCTTTGGTAAACTGGAAGTCTAGGGTTAAATCTTGCTTAAATATCTTCTCATTTTCTTTCAGATTTTTGTTTAACTATTTGCCAATTTACTTATGGTAGGTAGTATTATTTATTTATTTATTTATTTATTTGGTACAAGGTGTTCAGACTTGTAGCAATCCTTCTGCCTCAGCCTCCTCAGGGCTGGGTTTACAGGTGTGTGCCACTGTGCTTGGCTTCAGTGGCCAGCACTGTGCACCCAAGGTGTGGCATGGGGTACTAGGGATAAAACTCAGGACCTTGCATTTATTACAAGGATTTGGAATCCTTAGGAAATGACTGCCCAGAGATGTCTTCCAGGTATAGCTGCTGGCTTTTAGATTTTGAGTCTGTTGCCAGATCCTGCCTCTTCAATTTGTTAGGGATGAGAAGTTGCTGACTATTTGATCCTGCCCCTGGTTCTTCAGTATGGGCCTATAGTACTGTTAACAACCCTCAGTCAATCTCAATCTTGGTATACCAGGAAGAATAACTGATTAGAACAATTATATCACCTTGGTTAACATAGTACAATCAACAATAATAGCGTCAAACAGAGCCCAAAATGACATAATGTGGTAACTGTTCATTTTCCACCTTTAATCATAAGAATTATATTTATGGTTATATAACAAAGTCTAAAACGAGAAAAGCGTATATAGCAAATATGCCATAAATAAGGCAATTTTTCTCTTAGAAGAAAAAAAATTAAAACAGGATAGGATAAAAATAAAGAAGTAGTAGAAGAAGAAGAAATCAGAGGTAAGGCTGGAGGACAAAGGAAGACCATGCAAACCTTGGTAAACTGGTGAAGGCAAGAGGAAAAGAAGAAATATTACTTTTCTCTCATTGCTGGGACAAAATACCCGACACCCAAAGTTAAGAAAGGAAAGGTTTATCTAGCTCCCAGTTTGTGAAGGTTCCAGTCCATACTCAGCTGGCTTCAAGTCACAGTGGCATATGGCAGATGAGGGCGGTTCGTGGCAATGGAAAACAGTGAAACAGCAAGAGCAAAAGGGGGAAGGAGCGGCAACAACAGCTACAGAGAGTGAATCTGTCTCCCTTATGTTGCATTCAGGCCATCGACCCCAGACCAGATGAGGCACTGACACCCATAATCCCAGTAGCATTTACACCCATAATCCAAGCAGCATTCACATCCATAATCCCAGCACTGGATCATCCATTAATAGAAACTCTAGAAGTTTGTCCCATAACCGCATGAGGTTTTGTGGGGTCAACTAGACATAAACCATAACAGAAATAAAAACAATAACAACAAGCAGATGGGAACCAATGTTTACACTCATTAAAAAAAAAAGAACAGCAATATCAACAAAAAAACCCAAACAATCAAGGAAACCAAACAAATAAAAACAAAGACAAAAGGAAAAAAATCACTTCA